GCTATGATTCATTTTTGAAACTATGATGAGATATTTTATGCAGCGTAAGCGAAAATAAATAAAAAGAAAAAAAAGACAGTTCAAGGTTGTACGAAACGTTCAACAAATAATTCTGAGTTCTATGCATGTTTTTTATGGTATAAAGTGTAATAACTTGTTTTTCTTATTGAATATTAATAAGAAATTTTGTTTTGGCTAAGTAGAACTTTTATTTATGCGTATATGATTTTTTATTTTACTTGTGGTATGATATAATTCAAATGTGTTTTCCGATCATTTTGATGATTTTTTTTTATCTAAAAGTTTGATAGTAATTTTACTTTGATTGTGTATTAAAAGTGAAAAGAACGAACATTTTTATGTTGTGATTCATGAAAACTTTTTCGAATCGCATATTGTAACAAATTAAGATATTATTTTATGTGGTATAATGCTGTATTATTAATTAAATAATAACATTTGGTTAAATTTAATTTAAAGTTTAAAGAATAAATTTGTAATTAATTTCAAGTGACATTTCACGATGGCCTATTTAGCAAAAGGTCGCAGGCAGGACCTCCTTGAATTGGCGGAAACGCTAGACATATCAGTACCAGACAATTTCAAAGCTCTTGACATAAAAGACGCGATCTTAAAAAGTGAAGGTTATGATGTAGATTTTACTAAAGAATGTTTAAATCGTATTATTAGTGATAGAAAAGAGCTCGAATTGCAAGCTGAAAGAGATAAGGAAAACCAACGAATATTTGAACTGCAAAAACTTCAAATTACAATTGATACTTCTAAAACTACAAACTCTGCGCTGGTGTCTTCTTCTGCAGACTCCAACATGCCAAAGTTAGAACTCCATAAGCTACTTCCGATTTTTGATCCAAAAACAACTGATGTAACAATTTTTCTAGACCTCTTTGAAAGGCAATTAACATTTTTAAAAGTTCCAGTTCCACAGTGGGTGGTGTACCTTGTTGGTCTTTTACAGACTGAAGTTTCAAATTTAATCGCAAAAGAATCTGTTGTTGATGCTCAAGACTATTATAAAGTCAAACAAATTCTACTAAAACGCTTTAAATTAAGTGCAGAAAAATTTCGGCAGGTTTTCCCGGTACACCAAAGATCCTATAAAAACCTGGCGTGACTTCTATTTTGACTTGCAAACATATTTTGATGGGTGGCTCAAAGAATCCAAAGTTACCACGCTTGAAGAATTGAAAGATTTGATTGTGGCAGATCAAATTAAAAAGAAAACACCTCAAGATTACAAAGATCCCTTTTTGGACCAGTGGTGTAATTCGAACAATCCTCTACAACTTGTGGATAAGTTAGATTCATATGAAGAAGTTAAAAACATGCGAAATAAAAATAAAAACAAAAACTTTAGTTGGAAACAAAAAGAAATGAAGTCCAGTCCCTGGAGAAGTAACTACACACGAAATCCTAAGTTGCTGTCACATGAACATTTTCTGTCAGATTTCCCCAGTCAAAGTAGGCGGGAAACCGGGGTTCCCAGTAACAGTAGGCGGAATCCCACTTCAAATGACAGAATACCTGAAAAGAAAATCGTTGATACAAAAGAAGACAGAACTCCTGTATCTTGTTATGGATGTGGTGCTCCCGGAATCATTCGATCAAGATGCCACACTTGCAACCCAGTTCGACAAAAAGATGATACCTTGTCATCAAGTCTAAATCAATCAAACTTTTATAGTTTCTCTAGTGAAAATAATCCCATTAGTATTATTCAAATTTCCATTTGTAATACAGAAGCAGCAGTTTGTGCTGATACTGGTGCTACACATTCAGTGGCTGGTGAAAAATTGTATCATTTACTTAAACAAAAAGGATTGAATTTTGAAGAAAAACTATGCAGATGACTCTAGCTGATGGTCGTACGCAAACCACAGAAATACTGACAACTTCTGTAGACATTGGTATTCAAGGAAAAGTCATTCCCATGGAGCTAATAGTTTTGAAAAATGCTAAAGGCAACAGAACACTTCTAGGCATTGACTTTTTAACAGCTGCAGGGATCCTCTTAGATCTCCAAAGAAAACAGTGGTATTTCACTGAAACATCCCACAGAAAATATAATTTTGTGAAAGCGCCTCCTAACATCAATGCTCTTCTCACTGTTAATACTGAACCACATCCTTGTCAACTTCGGGAAAATGAAGGTACTCATCTTTCACTTAAACAACGGAAATAAATAAATTCACTATTGGAAAAATATGAAGAATGCTTTCAACCAGGGGGAGAGCCTACTCCATTTATTGAGCATCGTATAAATACAAGAGATCATCTTCCAGTGGCAGTGCCACCTTATAGGATGAATCCTTCCTAGAAAGAAATATGAAAACAAGAAATTGATAGACTTCTCGCGGAAGGCATAATAGAAGAATGTGAGTCTCCGTATGCTTCTCCAGTCGTACTTATACCAAAACCAAATGGAACATTTCGCCTCTGTATTGATTACAGAAAGTTAAATGAAATAACAGTTGCAGATACATATCCACTGCCCAGAATGGATGATTTGCTGCATCAAGCAAAACTCACTCCTTTCATGTCTACATTAGATCTGCGAGCAGGATATCACCAAGTTAAAGTGCATGTTGAAGATCAAGACAAGACAGCATTTGTATGTCCTTTTGGCACTTACCGTTACTTACGGATGTCATATGGTTTGCGCAACGCACCTGCTACGTTTCAAAGACTGATGAACCGTTTTTGTAATGGTCTGGAAGACATTCTAGCATTACCTTATCTAGACGATATAATTGTTTTGTCAGAAACTTTTGAAAAACACATGCTTGATCTTAAAGCTATTTGTGCCATTTTGCCTCTTCTCGAGTTAAATATCTTGGATTTTGGATTACACAAAAAGGAATAGAAGTTGATCCAGAAAAGGTAGCCTCTATACTGGATATTCCACCCCCTAAAAATGTCAAAGAACTACAATCTTTCCTGCAAACTTGTTCTTGGTTTCGAAGATATATTCAAGATTTTGCAAAGATTTCACGTCCACTAAGTTATCTTACAAAGAAGAAAGTCCAATGGCAATGGGGATTTGACCAACAAAATGCATTTCAAACCCTTAAAACTCTCTAACAACACCTCCTGTGTTAAAACAAGCAGATGGTACTCAGCCATATATTATTCGAACAGACGCAAGCAATTATGCCCTTGGAGCAGTTTTACTTCAAGGAGAAGGATCTGAGGAACGTCCTATAGAATACGCTAGTCGACTGCTAAATCCAGCAGAACGCAACTATTCCACCACAGAGAGGGAAGCCATTGCTGTGGTTTGGGCTTTGAAGAAATTTCGTGGCTATATTGAAGGAACAGAAATAACCGTGGCATCCGACCACCAACCTCTGAAATGGCTTCTAAACCTCAAGTCTCCAACCGGACGACTTGCTAGATGGGCACTTGAAATCCAGTCTTTCAACCTGAAAGTACAGTATACACCTGGTAAAGCAAATGTCGTTGGAGACATGTTATCCCGCCCAGTTACTCAAGAAGAAGAATCTTTTTGCGAAGCCAATAATATCACGATAGCTGATATGCCAACACGAAGTTGTAAGGACATGCGCGAGGCGCAGCTTAAAGATAATTTAAAAAAAATCATCGACAGTTTTGAATCCCCACTGAAAACTGAAGAATATGCAAACTGGACTGAACGTGGATTTTTGATGAATCAAGGTGTTTTATATCGTTATGTTCCTGATGCTGATTCCGCAGAAGCTCAGTTAGTCATTCCAACTGCTGAACGTGAATTGATAATGCAAAGACATCATAATGATCCGATGGCTGGACATTATTGAGAAGATGGAACATTCCAGAAAATCGCTAAACGATATTATTGGACAGCAATGAAAAAGTACATATCCGATTATATTAAGAAATGTCCAGAATGTGCTCGTTTTAAGGCTACACACCAAAGGCCTGCAAAGGTGATTATTTTCGTGTTTTTATAGCAGGCTGAGATTGAGGTGTCATCCGAATACATATTTATGTTTGTCGGAGTGTAGGACGGAATGTCATTTAAGTAAGTTTGACTTCTACACTCTGTGACACCGTCTATATGGCACCAACTGACCCCTCTTTTATTGCTCTCTGACCAATCATTCAAGATTGTGAGACTTGCTGTTGGAGTAGTTACCCTTGTCCGGCTCTAATCCTCATGTAAAGAAAGCTGTGAAAAATCTCTAATATGCCCAATGATAATAAAAATCAACTAATTTTATTTCTAGTTTTCCTTCTTGTTTTTTGTTTGGTTATTTTAAAGAAATTAAAATAAATTTAAAGTGCAATATATCTTATATGTAAATGTAGTAGAATTAAATGATCAAAATGGTGGGGGGGGGGGCAAAACCCATCTACAAACAGAATAAATGGAATAATGGAATGTGTGTGTGTGAATAGTGTAACCTTATTTAAATCATTCATTGTAACTTTATTTTAATCATCATATTTTAGAAAAGTTCTTTATTTCCATTTCAAATCAATAATTTAGATTTAAAAAAAGTCTTAAAAAATATAACGAAAATAAATTTGCACGTGTCAAGCTGCTTACGAATCGGTGAATGGTCACTTACTCGAGAGCTCTGATAGATCCCGAGTACTTGAGTACTGAAGAGAGAACAAAGAGTACTTGAAGTGCTGATTTTGTGAAGGAAAGGGAAAATTTATAAAAACTAGAGAATGCCCGGTTAACACCGGGCCATGCAGCTAGTCTTTTTAACTAATTGCGATATTGGAATATAAATGGTCAAAACATGCATTGTCATTCAAACTAAACGTGTATACAAAATTTCACCGCAATCGGTTGAAGACATCAGCTTCAAAATTGAATTGCAAGATTCCACCCGAACATTTTACATTGCAAGTTAAATAAAAGCTTGTAAAAGTATAGCATACTTTGTACGTATGCTGAGTGGAAATAATGTAAAATATCTCGTTATACAAAAAAACAAATTTCTAAAATATTTTACACGAAAAATAGTTGGAGGCGCGGGGTTTTGATCCCCGTACCTCTCGCACGCTAAGCGAGTGCTCCTCCATATGAGCTGCGCCTCCGGACGACACCTGTGTTAACGTAAACATGCTCCCTTAACACCTGAATAAAATCGTTACTGTGTTTAGGTCAATAAAAATTATAACGGGAGAAACTAGAATCGAGTAAATAGACATCATAGAATGTTTGAAAGTAAACAGAAATAGCTTGATATATCTGCCTTTCTTAATGCTCCCTCTCTAAAACAGTAAACATATAACATACTTTGTACGTGTGCTTAGTGGAAGTATTGTAATATATCCTGTTGCACAAATCAAACGAATTTGAAAAATATGTTACACGAAAAAATAATAATTGGAAGTGCGGGGTTTCGATTCCCGTAACTCTCGCATGCTAAGCATTTGCTCTACCATCTGAGCTACGCCCCCTGTCCACAGTTTTGTTATTGTTAACATGCTCGCTTTAACACCTGAACAGGATGGTTATAGTAACTAGGTCGATATCGGAATATAAATCATCAAAACATGCATTGTCATCCAAACTAAATGTGCATACAAAATTCCAGCTCAATTGGTTGAAGACATCACCTTTAAAATTGAGTTGCAAGATTCTACCCGAAAATTTTACATATCAAGTTAAATAAAAGCTTGTAAAAAATATAACATACTTTGTACGCGTATGCTGAGTGGAAGTAATGTAAAATATCTCGCTGTACAAATAAAACAAATTTCAAAAATATTTTACACGAAAAAATAATTGTAGGCACAGGGTATCAATCCCCGTACCTCTCGAAGGTTAAGCCAGAGCTCTACCATTTGAACTACGCTCCCGGTCGACACCTATGTTATTGTAAACACGCTCGCCTTAACACCAGAACAAGACCGTTACAGTAACTAAGTCAATTAAAAGTGTTACGGGAGAAACTATATAATCGAGTAAATAGATATCACAAAGAACGTTTCAAATTAAATAAAAATAGCTTGATAGATCTGCCTTTCTTAGTGTTCCCTCTAGAACAGTAAAAATCTAACATACTTTATACGTATGCTGAGTGAAAGTATTGTAAAATATCCCGTTGTACAAATCATACGAATTTCAAAAATATTTTACACGAAAAAATTGCTGGAGGTGCGGGGTTTCGATCCCTGTACCTCCCGCATGCTAAGCGAGCGCTCTACCATCTGAGCTACGCCCCCAGTCCACATCTTTGTTATTGTAGACATGCTCGCTTTAACACCTGAACAAGATCGTTACAGTAACAAGGTTGATTTCGGAATATAAATCACCATGGCATGCATTGTCTTCCAAACTAAACGTGTATACAAATTTTCAGCTCAAACGGTTGAAGACATCACCTTCAAAATTGAGTTGCAAGATTCCACCCGAAAAAATTATTTTAATTAATGTATTTTTAACTAATTGCAATATCGGAATATAAATGATCAAATCATGCATTGTCATCCAAACTAACCGTGTATACAAAATTTCAGCTCAATCGGGTGAAGAAATGAGCTTCAAAATTGGGTTGCAAGATTCCACCCGAACATTTTACATTGCAAGTTAAATAAAAAAAAAGCTTGTAAAAAGATTAATACAACATTAAAAACCGAGAGGCTTAGATACGGAGAGATTAAAACTAACGTTGCGTAATACAGCTGCACAAGGGTATTGGCGAGGAGCTTCATAATTTTAGACTATGCTCACAAGTGACGACGATAGCACAGGAGCTGGCCCCCACCCCCTTAGGTACTGTAATATTTACAGACGCAATGCGAGGGTAACACTAAATTTTGAGATACCCGCAGACAAGTTACAAAACAAAATTCTAATGGTATAATTTTAAACTACAAAATATTTTAACACAGTAGACAACTTTTTACTGACTTCAAGTTGTTTAGCGTAGAAAAAAATTTAGACAGAAGAGAAAATGGACTGGACGCGAGAATATTATCGTGCTATATGATTTTCTATAATTTTAAAGCTGGATTAAATGAAAAGGAATGCGTTCAACGGCTGCAATAACATTTGGTGATGAATCTTCATCATACTATATTTAGATGGTTTAAAGAATTTTGCAGTGGTCACAATTCTCTTCAGGATGAAGAACCCACAGAAATGCCCAGGACCGGTATTAATCCCGGATAATGGATGATAAGCGATGATAATCCATGTAACTACCAAATGATGCAGAAGAAACAAAACTTTGGATCCGCAGCAATATACAAAGTTATTCAAGAATAATTACATATAAAAAAAAGTAGTTTGTCGTTGGGTTCCCTATAATCTAATTGAACACCAAAAAGAGGAGTGTGCCAGAATCAGTAAAAAAATTGCTAAGTGATGGTGGCTACCACATCGTTTCTAAAATTGTAACGGGTGATGAAACGTGCAAGCTGTTTTTTGACGTTCCAACACGTCAAGAAAGCAAAATATGGGTCTTTGAAGATGATCCTTCGCCAACAATGGTAAAAAGCCAACGATCAATAAAAAAAAGTATAATGTATGACGTTTTCTTCAGAAGTACGAGATTGATCAAATCCATCAAGTTGGAAGGACAGAAGACTTTAACAGCAAACTGGTATACCACTAAATTTTTTCCCGAAATTCTCCAAGAATTTAATGTTAGGGGACAAATGCTTCACCATAACAATACATCTTTCCATACAGCAGGATTAACAGCAGAGTTTCTTAAGCAAAAACAAATTAAAATGATAGAGCATCCAACTTATTCTCCGGGACTAGCTGTGTGTGATTTTTAATTATATTTTAACCTAAGCTGTGTGTGACTTTTAATTATCTTTTAACCTAAACTGTGTGTGACTTTTAATTATCTTTT